ACCCTGGGGAGAAGGAGACCTAGGCAGGGATGGAGACCCAGGCAGGGCTGCAGACCCAGGCAGGGCTGCATCCGCACTCAGGAGGAACCGCCTACCCACCTGCCCAGGGGTTCTGGGGACTGCACGTGGCTCAGCCAGCGTCCCAGCAGGACGGGCTGATACAGGGCGGAGGGGCTGCATGAGGCGTGGTGCCGTCAGCATGACTCACGTATCTCTCCCTCCAGCCAGGGCCAGCCTCGCCCTGCGTGACTCACCCCTGCGTGGCCCTGAGCATCTGCAGCTTTGAGGGGTGGTGGAGCCCACAGGGTGGACGGGCTTCATGCACCGTGGTCTGCTTGTAGCTGGGACTGAGGAGCTACATGCCTTGATCACTGGACATGGGGCCCAGGCTCCTGGTCCGGGTGGTGACAGTTGGCCCCCGGCGGCCTATGGGGAGCAGCCTACACAGGAGAGTTTCTTCCGGGAGCCGGGAGCCCCCTGACGTGGTCGCCTGTGATGAGACAGAGTCAGCAGTGCTGGGCTGGAACTGGTAGGCCAGCCGTGTAGACGGAGAGCTGAGGTTAGGTCAGGAAGAGATTGGGAGGGATTACAGCTGGCCGGTGCTGCTGGTGTTGAATCATTGCATCTCCTGACTGTCCCTGACGGGGCTCGAGCCGGTTATGAAGTGCAAGCCGTCCCTTTTGCCAACATCGGCACAGTCTTGGGACAGCTGGCATCGGGGAACCCGCACATGGGCAGGGCGGGGGGACGTGTCTTCGTGATTGAGTTAAGGGGGGACTTTCCGTGGAAGCTGGCCCCTCCGTGCCCCTGAGTTTCTGTCCAGCTCTGTGTGGGGAGCACTCCCAGGAGGTAGTCCCCGGGATTCTGTCATCTGTGGCGAGGGTGTGGCTTTGTGACCAGGAAAAAGGGGGTCCCCAGGGGGCAGAGGGCAGGGAGAGCCCCGAACCCTGGGATCCAGGCTGAATGGTCTTAGCCCCAATGCCTGGGGGTCTTGTGGGGTGTCCTCAGGCGTGGCAGTGTTCCAGGGGGTGCATCTCCCTCTGGGGCCGAGGGCATTCTCGTGCGGCACGCAGAGGGGGTTGGGGAGGAGGCTGAGAAGGATGCACTGTCCCTTTGCCCATCCACTGTCAGACGTGCCCTTGGCTGACCTTGGGGTCTTGGGCGCCGTGGACTCTGTGGTTGGTTTTAGTGACCGGATGGCAGTGTCGGCCGTGGTCTGTAGCAGAGAGTCCTGGACAAGAGCCACACCAAACAGGGCAGCCTGGGGGGGTGGGGGCTGGACCGTCATTGGAGAGCCTGTCCCCATCCCTGCTCGCTCTGCTCCTGCTGGGTGTGTGGGGGCTGCAGGGGGTCCGTGCAAAGGATGTGCAGGGGACCCATGGCCTCCTCGCGGCCGGGGCAGGGGAGGCTGCGCAGGACACGAGGCGGTGTTTTAGGGAGAGCGAGTTCCTGGTCTGTGATTCTGTGATTCTGGTGTGCACAGACACGGCCCCGTGCAGTGCACACACACACCTGACACGTGCCCTCGTGCACACCGACATGGGCTCACGTGCACTGCATACGCGTGCCTAGGACACACCCTTGTGCACACAGACGCGGGCTCCCATGCTCTGCACACACACGCGCATAAGGAGTGCACACACACGCGAGTCCGTGTAGACAGGACTCTCGTTTGCGCGCCTCGCGGAGTCTGTCCGTCACCATCCTCTCTCACGCGGCAGAAATCCCAGGAATTGGGAGTCGCACGGAAAAGTCTGTATTTCGTACACATGTGTGGCTGTTGGTTTCTGAGCACCGCAAAGAGCCGTGTCTGCTTCTCCGTTGTAAGTGCCCCCGTTTCTCCTGACGGCGACATCGTCCCCTCTCACGACCCGTCCAGGTCCGGGTGGGCCCTCGGAGCCTTCCCAGGGCGGGGTGGGGGGTGCACGTCTGGGAAAGCTCTCAGCACGGGGATGGCAGGTGAAGCGTGTGGGGGAACAGGTGCAGATTTCTCTGTAAATACGACCAGCGACGTGGACACGCGTGCGTGTTTATGCACAGGGCCAGCGGGGTCGGCGACGTCGGCGAAATCCCACCTGCTGCCTCAGGGAAACCTGCCGCGTGCCGGACGTGGTATGATTCTGTGTGTAGAGTCTGGACCGCTCGGGTGTAGACGGCGGGACTCCAAGTCTGGGAACCTGAGTACAGCCCAGTGGGGCCGCTGGGGGTCGCGTGACCGTCGTGCCCGAGACCGCCGGCGTCTGCCTGCCTGTTGTTAGCACACACGTAGGAACACACACACATACACACGTACACGCACATGAGCACACAGATACACACCCACACTAGACGCGGAGATATATGCATGTACACATACACACAGAGCTACACAAATATGCAGAAAACAAGCTACACACACTTGCACATGTGCCCACGTGCAAACCATGCACAGGTGTGCGATGCACACACACAAAGCACACCCACTTGCACAGATGCACACAGAAAGCATGCACACGTGTCCAGTGTGCACACACACGAACCCCCCCACACCTGCACACTTGCACACACAAACCATGCACACGTGTCCACCCCCACACACCCCTGCATCTGTGCACACACGCACGTGCATGCCCCACGCACACATGACAGAGGACACAATTACAGAGCACTGCCTGTCTGAGATGCTCCGTGCCGCTGAGCACGTGCCCACACGAGACGGCACCCACGCGTGTTCGGGGAGCGTTTAAGGCCCAGCCCTTCCTGAGGGGAGGCCGGGGTCCCCTCAGCGTCCGGACCTCACAGCCCCCATCCGGTCTGCAGTCAGTGTCCTCCCAGCCCACGCGGGCTTCTCCGAAATGTCCTTACGTTGCCTTTTGTGCAGCTGGTCAGGAACGGGCCCTGGGCCATGGCACGGAAACGGTGTCCATCAAAACCCTCGGGACCGGAGGGAAAACGCAGCTCGTCTCCGCAGACGCCCCGTTTGAGCCATCGCGGGACCTGAGAAGACACTTTCTGTGCTTTTCTGGGCAGTTTAGTGCGTTTGCAAGAAACGCAGGTTGGGTGCGTAGTCAGGGAAGTTGGTGACAAATGGGGCTTTTCTGTGCGTGTGTGTGTTTTCGTCACGTACGGGAAATTGTTAGTCATTACTGGAGGGGGGTCTGCTGTTCATGAGTGACACACGGGCAAAATTACCGTATTTTCCTAGTGCTCTAGCTGTGGCTGTTTTTTTTAAATTGTTATACACATTTTTAAAAATTTATACACATTTTTAAAAATTGTTATACTCATTTTTAGAATTGTTATACACTTTTTAAAAGTTATTTAGCACATTTTTTCAATTGCTATACACATTTTTAAATTGTTATACTTTTTTTGTTACACATATTTTTTAAAACTGTTATGCACTTTTTTTAAATTGTTATACAGTTTTTAATTGTTATACACTTTTTTATTGTTACACACATTTCTAAAATGGTTATACACATTTTTAAATTGTTATTCACATTTTTAAGTTGTTATACACTTTTTAATTGTTACACACATTTTCTAAATTGTTACATTTTGTAAATTGTTATACACGTTTTTTTAAATTGTTATACACCTTTTAAAATAGTTATACACTTTCATTACACACATTTTATTAAATTGGTCCACACATTTTTTAAAAACTGTTATACACATTTTTAAAATTGTTACACACATTTTTAAAATTATTATGCACATTTTTAAAAATTGTTATACTTTTTTTAATTGACATACACTTTTATTGTTACATTTTGTAAATTGTTATATACATTTTTTTAAATTGTTATACACTTCTCTTGTTACACACATTTTATTAAATTGGTCTACACATTTTTTTAAATTGTTACACACATTTTTAAAATTATTACATTTTTAAAATTACTATGCACATTTTTAAATTGCTATACACTTTTTAAAATTGTTACACACTTTTTATTGTTACACACGTTTTTAAAATTGTTGTATCCATTTTTAATTGTTATACACATTTTTAAATCATTACGCACATTTAAAAATTTGTTATACACATTTTTAATATCGTTACACACATTTTTATTGTTACACACATTTTTTAAATTGTTACGCACTCTTTAAACAATTGCTATACACATTTTTTTTTTAATTGTCATGTTGCTAAATGTTACGATCACCAGCTGTTTCGAACGTTAACTGTCGTCTTACTTTTCCGCATCGACGTGAGCATGTCGCAGACATGACACTTTCGGGCTCGTTCTACATTTTAAAAACCAACTAACTCTTGCAAACGTCATGAAGTCCAGAAAAATTTCAGTCCCCATCTTTAAAAAAAAAAAAAAAAATATTGCCTTCTTAATTTTTGCATGACTGTTTTCCTGATTCCTAACCGGACTCTCTGTCCTCGTAGGCCAGGACTTCGACTTGGCGGACGCCCTCGATGGTAAGTCCTGCGATTGACTATTCATAAGGTGACAGATGCCATGTTAGAGTTGTGTCTCTAAACGGACGAGTGTTTCGTCTGAATGGACTAAGTGTGTCGAAGCGTGGACCGTGCTGAAGGGGCTCACACGGGGGAAGGAGAAGCCAGACACTCTGGGTAGGGGGAGGAAACCTTCCCAGCGCAAAGACCCTGTTGCTCTTGGTCTCAGCAAAGGCCACGTCCAGCATCAGGCTATGTACCCGTCCACGGGGGTCCTGTTGGGCTCAGAATTCACGCTCCGGTCCCTGTCCTCTGCCAGAGCCATGGGGGCTGTATATGGTGATATCCGACGTTTTTAGAGCACAGGGGAATCCTTGAGAGATGGTACAGTTTCTCAGCCACGGGTCTTGCTGATTTGATGCCTTTTCTCTCTAGACAAGGAGAAGAAGCCCACGACACCGCCCAAGAGACCCAGCGCTGGTAAGAAGCCAATGGGCCTGGCAGGCACAACAGAGGACGTGTGCCGGACAGCTCTCTGGGCCGTGCACCCTCCCGCTCACCCCAAGAGCTGCTTGAGACATAGACAACCACAGAGACAAGTGGTTTGGGGCTCTGGGTGCAGACTGGTTCCTACTGGAGCCATGCTGTCGATGTTGGCCACCGGGTGCCATGTTTTTTGGGCAAGACTGAGGTCTGACGAGTCTTGGGGATGATTTCGGGTCACCTGGACAATGTGTTTCTGGAGGGCTCGCTCTGTGTTTGGATATGCGTTCGTAGAAGAAGCAGTTTCTGGGCCCGAGATGCCGGTACAACCCGTGAGCAGACCCAGTCTCCGGCCGCCAGGACACACCTACCCATTCTAGGCGGGGTTCCTTCCAAATGAAAGTCGGGAACCAGGAACAAGGGTCTGATCGTTGCTTCTTGGCCAACCAGACGTCAGAATCATGGCGGTCTTACTGCTGTTGTTTTTTTTTTAATTTGTCTTTAACGGAATAGGTTTGTTTAGGAACCCGTGTCCTTGCACGGCACGGGAGTGAAAAGGTTTTTGGATCAGAGATTGTTGAGAACCTGAATTGCCAGGGTAGTTCAGTGCCAACGTCCCTAACATAGCAGGAAATTGGAAAGGGGTCATGACACCAAGGAAACCCGTGATGCCAGCAGGAAGGGTCCCATCATTTCATTGAGGGAATTCCATTGTAGGTGCACGTCTGCCTGAATCTGGTGCCCCATTTCTGCGTCCACCACATCGTGTCTCCCTTACAGAGGACGCTGGCCACGTGGGAGGGGTGGATTCGGACGGGACGGTAATAGCGAAGGATTCTTGGTGGGCAGAGTTGGAATCCCAGCTTGGCCCGCGTGGTGCCAGGGATGGGTACAGTTCCTTTTTGTGGGTTTTGTTTTGTCTCTTGCTCCTCTCCTCGGAGAGGTCTAGAATTGGGCTCTTCTGTTTGGACCCGGGTCAGACTAGTATTCGCAGTCGTGTTTGGGGAGGGGGGGAGGCAGGAGTTCCTACGTGGCTTAGGGAGCTGAATTCCTTCCTGGGTCTTCAGTGTTAACAGTCCGTTTCCCTTGTAGACGATGACGGGCTCAGTCTGGAAGATGCCCTCGGCGGGGAAGGACACAGTAAGTACCTTTGGGAAATCTCCTGGGTGGCCAGCTTGGTTAGGATTACCAAATGATCATCGTTCCCAAGAGCCTTGTGCCTCTCAGGTCAGAACTAGGCGTAACCACGAACACATGGGGAATGGTGTGTTGTTGGCTTTTGTTGGGTTTCTGGTTTTTGCCTGTTTTTGCTTTTATTTAAAAAAAAAAAATAAAAAGGCTTCTAGCCTTTGCAATGGCATAAGGTTAATGTGAGCACCCTTGCCAGGGCAAGTGACTGGTGCGTTCACTCAGCTGTAGTCCTACCCTTGCTGGAATGGTTTGTGGCCGCCATATTGAAAATGTCAGTAGAATTTGAACGAGGGACCCTGCAATTTTATCTTGCACTGGGTCCCACGAATTCTGTACCTGGTCCAGGCACTTGCTTTAGTTTCTAACAAAAATTTACGCAACTGTTGGAACTGTCCAGTTCTCTTGGAGGTAGGTAGGGCACCTGGATGACGATGGAAAGAAATGGGCTGGTGGCTGTGTTTGGTGGTCTCCACTAAGAGAAGGGATATATTCCCCTTTGTAGTTGTTTGGGAAACCATCTGTAGCAAAACGGATGTGTTTCCTTTCTTGTGTTTTGGGGTTTTTTTGCTGACTCCTCAGAAATGCAACACTTGTATTTTTTACCAACAGATGACCCAGTACCACCGAGTCCACCCAAACCTAAGCCTCATCCAAACCCCAACCAGCCGGGATCTTCTGGTAAGACCCCTTCCCTGAATGCACACTGTGCATTTCTCAGAGTACGTTGGTCTCCCCGTTGGCCGAGAAGTCATCCTATCAGATCAGCATAGCCTTCATGGGGGGGCCTCCCAGGGACAAGGCCATTCCGGTTTTCCAGGAGTGGGACATGAGTTCTTGAAAAGGTATTTTGGGTTTGGATTTGACTTTCGGTGGCGTGTATTTCCGAAATTTAAGGAAATTAATTCGGCGTTTCATGGCCACGTCTGGTTTCTCTTTTGTGCGTGGCTTGCTTGTGTCTCTAGTTCTGGGTTACATTTGAGGAAAACGGGCATGTCCTGCCTGGTCGAGAAGCCCACGTCACCCATGTACAAATCGTTTTGTCAGTCATTTATGATGAAAACATTTCTTCCCTTATTTTAGCCTTTGAGTATTTTTCTCAGTGGTTTTTGGCAAGTGGTCTTTGAATGTGTGTGCACATGTGTGTGTTTTCCCCGTGGGATCTTTTATGTTCGAATGGCTCCCCTGCGTCTTTGTGGCTCTCTGTTTTTTCCTTTTAATTTAGCACTCACTGGGTTATTGTCTGTCATCCCTCTGGGGAGAAAGAAAACCCTCCTTTTATTGTCACTTGAATGGTTTCCAATGAGAAATCAATTTGCAGAGTGCCGACCATTTGCAAAATTGAGCTTTCTTGCTTTGGAATCCGTTTTCTGTCCTCTTTTCTCGTTGCCGTTCCTATAAACGTTATTTCTAAATTGCTTTTGCTTGTTGGTGTTTGTTTCTGTGAATACGTTGTATGCCCATTATTTTTCTGCTTATTTCTGGGATATGGAAATGAATTTCATACGTCTTTCCTCATGGGCCACTTAATGATGAATCCTTATTATCTGTTAATAATTTTGCCTTCATCATTTAGTTTTTAATGAAAAGACTGTCATATTATTTGCAAGTGATCTTTAAATCAAATGTATTTTTTTATGTTTATATTGTCTCTTTCCAGTTTTCTTGTGTTTGAATCATTGTGCCTTGGCTAGAAAACCCATATTAAATTTCATCGACTCCACGTGTTCATCAGTGTGTATGAGCATTTTTTTTTTCTTTTAACCCGTGAATATGACAAGATATACTGAACGATGTCTTTCTACAGAATACGTCCTTGACTTCCTGGAATAAACCGTATTTAGTTACGATAGGTCTTGTGAAACTGATGCATTAAATCTGATACGTATCAGCTAGCTACTGCTGCGTAACAAACCATGCACGAACCCAGTGTGCTTTAAAATTTTTTTAAATTGTGTCTCAGAGCACCTAGGGGGCTCAGTCTGTTGGGCATCTGACTCTTGGTTTCAGCTCACGTCATGATCTCAAGGTCGTGAGATCGAGCCCCCCATCTGGGTCATGATCCACGTGGAGTCTGCTTAAGATTCTCTCTGTACCCTCCCCGCCACTCATGCTCTTTTTTCTCTCTCAGTCTCTAAAATACAAAAATGAAATCTTAAAAAAAATTGTTATGTGTCCGCGAGTTTGGGGCCAGGCATGGCTGATCCCGACCCTCCTGACCGTTCCAGTATGGCAGGTGACACTGTGTTTTTGTCTCCTAGGTGGCTTTTCAGATTCCGATCTCATTGATGCAGCTTCAGATGGAGGTACAGTTACGGGTTCTCTTTCCTCCCTATCACGCACCTGCTGTACACAATGACGTCAGGGTCTACAGTCTGACCCTCAGTGAAATCACAGTCAGCTGCTTGGAAATCTCTTCCCACCTCCGCCATTTGTAGATGCATCAAGGATGAGGACTGTTAAGACCTGCCCCACCAGGGCTGGTCCCTGGTTGCTGTGCTGATGGTTCAGGGAGCTACCCACCATATGCATGGGGCTGACTGCACATTTCTCAGACATCTCCTGAATACCCCAGTCACCTGTTTTAGCGTGGTGACTGTTGGGTGTCATCAATGACATGTGTTCGGTTATTTCATGAACGTAGAAATGAGACCAGATTCTCCACCTCTCTCTTTAAAACCTTAGCTTAGAGTAGCGTCCAGAGCAGTACTTAGATATAATACATCTTGTGTATATATAAATAAAAATTTAAGTTTACAGTAATATAATAATATCTTTATAGTAGTTAGAATATATTAATATTTATGATATGTACATGTAGCTAGTCTTAATGTACACTTACAGTTCATCCTTGACCAACACAGGTTTGGTCTGCATGAGTCCATTTATTTCGATAAATACAATATAATCTTGTAAATGTGTTTTCTCTCCCTCATGATTTTCTTTCTTTTTTTCTTTTTTTTTTATGATTTTCTTAATCACATGTTCTCTTCCCTACCTTACTTCATTGTAAGAGTACTTTATTGTAATAGTGCAGTACATATGGGACTCCTGGATGCCCCAGTTGGTTAAGTGGCTGCCTTTGGCTCAGGTCATGATCTTGGGTTCCTGGGATCGAGTCCCACATCGTGCTCCTTGCTCAGCGGGGAGCCCGCTTCTCCTTCAGCTGACCTGCCTGCCTCTCCCCTTGCTTGTGCTCTCTCTCGCTGACAAATAAAATCTTTTAAAAAAAGAGAGAGAGAGTACAGTATGTAATATATAGAACATACAACATATGTGTTACCAACTGTTTTGTTATCAGGAAGCCAACAGTCAACAGGTTATTAGTAAATAATTAATTTGGGGGGGAATCAAAAGTTGTATATGGATTTTTGCCTGTACCATGGGTTGGCTCTCCTAATCCTCTTGCATTGTTCAAGGGGTCAACAGTACGTATCCTGGGAGTCAACAGGAACATGGCTTGGATCACCCCATAGCCATGGGCTGGGTCTTAGGTGGGCTCCAAGGCCCTGACTGGGATTCTGAGGGGTCAGAATCCATGAGGCACACAGGACTTACTGACTCTCCTGCAGCCCACCATGAGAGGAGTGGTTTGAGTTAGGAGCTGAGCCTGCGTGTCAGACAAACAGGAACGAATCCAATGACGTTTAGCAAAGTCGGGACTCAACGAAAGGAAAGGACTCTCTAAGTTCCTTCACAACTCCAGGTCCCAGGAGTTGATCTATGGGATGATATTTTCTTTGCCAAAAATCTTCCCAACACGACTTGTCTGCAAGCCTGTTTCTCCCTTGCAGGAGGTGGTGGCGGTGGTGGCGGTGCTGGCGGTGGCGGCGCTGGTGGCGCTGGCGGAGGAAGCCATAATCATGACGGCGGGGAGCAGGGTATGTACACGTGGTTTCTGATGTCTTGGGTTTCTTATAGGCACTGTTGAGAAAAAGTGGAATGCAGTGGTCAAGACCAAGTGTATTGTATTGGCTCTGTTGTCCTAAAGATGATGGCGAGCAACGTCCAAGTGTGGTTGCCTTGCCCCATGCACATCCTAAGCGCTCTGCTGAACTAGGTCATTGACGTTCTTAGTAGGCTCAGCAAGGGGTTTCTGATGGCACCCACACGTTAGGTTCACTCACCTTCCCACGGTGCCCTAAGAACCCTAACCCATCTATATTACCTGCAGTTCCCCAGAGAAACAGAGCCATTGGGATCTATCTAGATATAGATGTAGGTATAGATCTGTGGAAAGAGATTGATTGTAAGGAATTGTCCCCCATGATGGTGGACGCTGAGAAGTTCTGTGATCTGCTGACTGCAAGCTGGACAACCAGGAGAAGCTCAGGTGTGGTTCAGTCCCAGTCCAGAGGACTGGGAACCAAGAAAGCTGGGAGGGCAAGTCCCATCCTGAGTCTCAAGTCCCAAGAAGTAGGAGTGCCCATGCACAAAGGGCAGAAGAAGATGGATGCCCCATCTGTGTGCTCTGTTCCGTGCAGGCCCTCTACAGATGGATTGATGCCCATCCTCACTGGTGAAGGCCACCTGCTTCACGTAGTCTGTAAATACAGACATTAATCTTTTGCGCGAACATCCATATGGACGTACCCAGAAGGAATGTTTTTCCAGTCATCTGGTCACCCCGGGCCCAGTCAAGTGGACACGATTACCCTTCACACCATCCTTGATTGACTCACGGACTAGGATGTCCTGTGCTGCCACCACGCTTAGAAATAGCTTAGCTGTCCACAGAGCAGAGATACACGCGGTGTGAGAGTTACTGATAGCACGCGGAAACCACATTGCGGTAAATCCAGTGGAAGTAGCAGAGGGGGTCAGCAGCTTTGATTCTCCAAAAATGTGTGAAGAGGATGATGTCCAGGACATCCCACTCCATGATGGGCACCCTGCTTCCTTGCCTGAGAGCTTCTACCTCTAACTGTTAGGACCCCTGCACTGGCTACAGGGATGGGAGGACGCAGGGTGTGTCATCTACCGGACACCTGTTTTGCACTGGAAGCGATACGTGTAGTCAGATGAATTCCAATACCAGGTGGGACTTTCGGGGAGCAGTATGGCTGGTTCTTTGTGTCAAGCAAACGGGCTAGAGGTGGCGTTGGAAGTTGGGCAAGACTCAGGAGTGGGGTTTCCTCCATGGTTACCCTGGGACCCTGTGTCTTGACACTCAGTCCCACCCTTTTCCGGTGGGCGGGGCTTCCAGCCACATGTCCTGTGTGTGGTCTACTCTCCGCCAGTGTTCCTAGTCATGGTGCCATGTGTTTCTTCCTGCAGCCGACTCCCCGGGGGTAGTCCCTGGCATCATTGGGGCCGTCGTGATGGCCGTGGTCGGAGCGGTCTCTAGCTTTATCGCCTACCAGAAGAAAAAGTTGTGCTTCAAAGAAAACAGTAAGGTTTTTGCGGCCGCGTCCTTCCCTTCGTGCCTTACTAACTTGAAAGCTCTGCTGTCTCGAAACTAAAACAATGCAGAAGTCCCGTTGGCTTGAGACACGTGGGAGGTGGCCGACAGTTTGAGAGATTGCTGGGAATAGTGGGATCGGACTCTGTAGCTTCCATCCTGGTGCCGCCCGTGTGGAGTTGTGCAAATTTTGCCAGTCAGTGACCTCCCCTGTCTTTGGGTTTCCCATCTTTAAAGGGGGAGCTGGTCATCTGCACACCACCAGACTTTTGTGAGGATTCATAGGGCTGTGTGTGAAAGTCTTGACAGGTCGACTGGAGAAATGTTAGCTCTTGGAAATGTTTATTCATCCTAATTTATAACTGCCGTCATCCTCATCCCCCTTATGACAAGAGTGATGACCGGGGGGGGGGGGGGGCGCCATATTGTTTTCTCCAACCAAGGGAATTAAAATTGGAACGCAGGATGGCTGATTGCCTTTCTGGTACCACCCCGAACTGACAGGTGCTCATGAGGGTTTGGGGGTGGGATATAAAATTTATAGGAGAATGTGGAGGGATTGGAACTTCAGCATAGGGATTGGAATTCCATCGTTGGGTGTTTGGGTACCATACAGGCAAGAGTCCTTGAAATACATAGGATTTGCCTCGAAGTCCGTAAGTTCTGTTTTGAACATGGCTCATGTTCTTGTATCTCTGGGTTGCTCTAAGTGTTGCCTTCCCTCTTGAAAGATGAACACGAGGGGTGGACTCCGCTGTGGCTTTAGAGGTCCCATGGGCTGTGATGGAGCCTCATGCTGTCTGAACTTCTCAACCCACCTGTAGTTTCAAGTCCAGATTCGTACTTAGCCGTTGACCTCCATCTTCAAGGACCACTGCCTGAGGGCTCTAGGGAAATTCCCAAAAGATTTGAATAGGTGGTGATACAAAATTTGTCTATAAGGAGGGAGTCTACCCTCAATCTCCCATCATTCTAGATTTTTAGATTCACAGGCTCTGTTCGTAGCCTGAAACTGAAAGTCCCAAACGGCTTGTAGTTTCAGAGACTTAACAGAAGCTGCTGTTTGGCATCCCTCTCCTTAGAGCGAAGGGGAAGGGTACCTGATTATGTCTATTTTCCACATGTGACCAGGCGCCTTCCATCAGGGACCCTCAGGAAACCATGCTCGGTTGCCTGAATATTAGGTATCCAGCATGTCCAAATGGATAGATGACCGAGGTCAGGGACATGCCCAAGTGGACAGATGACCACGGTCAAGGACGTGCCAAATGAAGAGAAGAGCGAGGTCAAGGAAATGCTCAAGTGTGAGGTCAAGGCTGTGCCCAAATGGAGAGAGAACCAAGGTCAAGGACGTGCCCAAGTGGACTTCATTTCTGCCCCCCTCTCTGAAAACACTCAGCTCAGAGCCTGATGCCCAGCCAGGAGAGAAGGAAGGCATGCCTGCTAGGGAAGGATGCATGGGAAGTCTGGGCACAACGGTTTCCTGAAAATCTATAAGTGACTGTCAGATCCAATTTGGATGTCCAAATTCAGTCGTATCGTGGACCTGCAAAGCCTTTCTGTCACCTTGGGTTGGAGATATATGACCCCCTCGGATGTTACGATGCCAATTTGATTCATATGTCAAGGCACAGGGATTTGGGAGAGGACCCAAGAATCATAATGGAATTGATGTTGTCCCGTACTTGGAATGGGATTAGGAACTTGGAAAACCAAGTGTTCTCCATCTCCCTGTCCCCCATTCCTGGTCATTCATTGACCCAGAATTTCGTACAGTCTCTCGTTGTGCATGAGCGAAGTGAACATTGGGGGCGACTTTACCATCTTGATTTGCTTTCTGGTTTTTATGGGATGTATGATCTTTGCTGATAGAGATGCACAAAGAAAATGTCCAAAAAATCCCCCCAAAAACAAAAACAACGCAACAAGGAAGCTGGTAGCTTTGATTTCAGTCATTAGGGACCGTGGTCTGCAGCTATCAAATGCCCATAAGACAAAGAAAATTAGGTGCTCTTTTTCAGCAAACTCCAGGATGGTATCACAGAAGAGTGAGTCATCTCTTCCAAGTCCGTGAAGAGACATTTTGGTGTTCTTGACCTATTAGTAGATGAACTTAGGGCTTATCTCTATGGCATATTTTTATGAAGATGTAGAATTGAAGTGTTGGATTCAGGCATTGGGATCATGAATATCCTAGACCTTTCGGTGGAGCTTGTGCAGGACTTTTGGTGGATGTTCTTGTTGGGATGGTGGTTTAAAGAAACATGTACCCACCTGGACCTGTAAGCATGGACATTTCCTAAGAAGGACGTGGCCATGGTGAATCCCAGTGCATTCAAGAAACCATAGTTTTTTGGGGAAAACCTTGGTTCTACAAGAGTGGGTGGTTCTCCAGGACCTTGTCATCACGTTGAATTTGGTAGGGTCTGTTGAGTTGTGCATGAAGGTCCGTCTCCATCAACTGGGTGGTCTCTCTACGGGGAAATGCATCCGTCAGATACCAGCCTTCCGGCTCTACATTCCCTGAAGTGCTTTTTAGTATCATGTTGGGAGCCGATGCCCCGAACAGTGTCCGTGGCCAACGCGGCTTGGTAGATCTGTCCTATATTCCTGGAGATTTTGATATGTGCCTAAGAGTTTAATGTGGCTTTTTTGCAAATGGCGCACGCTGGCCTGTTAAGAGCCGTCTCGGGCGTGGGCTCGTGGCCGATGTGGGTGTTTGTGGTTTGCCGTGTTGGCTTTGAGCGGCCAACGGCATGCATGGCGACGCACTCTGGGTGGCTGTCACTTGCTGTGCACGATGCTGTCCTTCTGCGTGCACGGTGGCTGATGTGGGCTCTCCTGTGTGTCCTTTGTTATTTCCGGCAGGTGTGTGAGGTATTGCTGGGCAGAGCTGCTGGCCTGTCCCTTGTCTTCCTCTCCCTCCCAGCGTTGATGCCCTACCTTCACCTCCCTCTTGTCCCTGAACTGGCTTCCAGATCTGACCCATGCCTCCCACTGCCCCTTGGCCTTTAAGCATCGCTTTAAAAAAAATCCTAAAAACCCACTGTACTCCTGAGCACAAAGACTGTCTTTGTCCGAGCTGACGGCTGCTGCCTGGGGCTTTTGCACGCTCTGGGACCTCTGCGGACCTCCCCGGTCCCTTTTTCCGTCTGGTTCGGTTTTCATTTCTCGACCTTTCGTTTCAGGTGAGCCGCGGCCGTAGGGACGAGCAGGAAACCGTGCGCACGCCTGCAGCTGCCCCGGTGTGATCTGTGTCCCCTGAGATGCAGAGTCTAACGCAAACCCTGGCATTTGCCCCGCTCCCTGCGGCCAGTTAGTCAGTTGCCATGGGGATGGGATGCCTCCCCCCACCCCACCCCGATCCCGGATTCCGTGTCCCCCGTCCCGCCCCTCGCAGGTGCATGGACGCGCATAGTATTAGACTGGATTCGTGCACAAGGAGTTTCAGGACGTGAGGAGGAATGCAACTCTTGGCAGGCAGGGTGGTAGGTGTGGGGAGGGGGCTTAGTCCATGCCTCCATCCCGCTCGCAAGTGTCCGTCAGATTCACATTTGCAGCTGAACGGGGCCAAACGGAGGATCCCGAGGCAAAGCCCGTGTTGCATTTGCAGCTTTAAATGTCTGACGTTCCAGCCTCTGGAGTCCTTGTCCTCTGCACATCCCAGGAAGCAGCTCCTTGCTGTCTCTCTGACCCGTATTATTTTAAAAAAATAATAATACAGGACTGTCCTGCTTGACCTACTTCTCCAGTAAGGAAAGGAAAAAAAGCAATCCCATGATGTAGGAACAACCTAAAAATCTCACCGTTGTAGCATTTGGAAGTCTGTGGAGAACGGAGTGGAGCGTGTCCCCGGCCAGAGAGTCCGTACACTGTAGATCGTCCTGTAAATGGGAAATCATCCGTGGGTGTTTTCCTGCCCCGGGCACGTTCTGGCCTCTCCCTTCCCTGGGTGTCTGGAAGGTTGTGGGGTTTGCACGGGTGGTGAAAGGGGAGGGAGCTGTCGTGAGAGGGCTCTAAGTGCTTTGCTTCTGGGTCTGGTCCCCATCCCCCTGCCCCCACCGCCTGTGGTCACCTTGGCCACCGCTGGCTCTTTGGAGGATGTCCCTGCTGATCTGTCTGTTCCTATAAAATGAGGCTGGATCCCTGGTGGGTCGGAGCCTGGTGTGTGCGCTCCCATCCCGAGAAGGAAGTCGTCCGTGTAACTGCCTCAAATCAGGCACGGTGGCTCGGCGGTGCCCCAGGACTGTGGTCTTGGCTCCAGATGCACATTGTGTCTGTCCATAAATAGTCCCCAGCCACAGAGGCCTGTAAAGCTGCCCTTTCTATGACGGTCCTGCTAGGGACAAGGGGTCCCCAGCGCCGACGAAAAGCGTATGCATTGGTTTTGTTTATTTTCAGATACGCTGTGGGTGGCCTTTCCTGGTTGCAGGGCAGGGCGGAGAGGGTGGGATGCAGGGTGCGTCTTGAGGAACGGGGTGTCCCCTTAGCGGCAGAGGTGCGTGGTGTCTCCCGGGCTGGCATAGGTCCCCTCTGGGAGACGGGGACTCTGGCTGTGCACCCCTGCTGGTCGCAAGGCCTGGTGTCTCTTTTGAGTGTCGGCCCCGGCCAAGGGGTGTGAACAGGTCCAGCAAAGAGCCCGGCCGTCAGGGTTGGGGAGAGGCGCCCGGGTGGCCGAGTCCCGTCAGAATCACGACTGGCATCACCAACGGTCCTGGTGTTTGGGCTCCGTGCCCCGTGCGTGCTGGGTCCCGCTCCCCGGAGAGCAGACACCTGTCCTGCCCCAGGCCACGTCCACCCTCCGCGTCCTCCTGGCTCCCCGTGTGTGCTCATTCTGGGGTCCTGCTTCCTCCAACGTCCAGCCGTGACACTGGTACCTCGACAAGGTTCTCCGAGGACCAGCGGTGTGTGACACCAACATCGAAAAGCATCAGAAGGGCACATGCCCTTTCCCGTGTTGTCCCCAAAGGGACGTTGCCGTGATGACGCTGCGTTCTTCCAAGCGTCCCTGTTGAACTTTGCTCCGCAGTGTCACCCGATGGCCTGTCCTCCTGCCGTCGGCTGGGAACCCCGCGTGTGCTCAGGACCTCCCTCCGGCCCATGTCCTGCAGGAGATGCACCACTGGTGCCGTTCAGGGCCTCTAGCAGCTCTGGGTCTCCCGCGGGGGGGGACAGGGCGACCGACAGTGGGATTCTGGCACCCCCACCGGGACCCGCAGTGAAGGCGTGTGGCGTGTCTGCTGTGTTCTCGCCCCGAGCCGGGCGCTTTTGTACAAACTTCCAAGCTCTGTGAACGGTCTGGGACGGCGTCCGCTCGGGGCCCCTAACCTGAGCCACGCCGTCCAGAAATAAACCGCCTTTTGCCCGCGACTCTATCCCTTGTCTTGAATTCCGTCGACTTCCGGAGGGGATCCCGGCCATGGGGAGGGGACGCTGGGGACTGTGGTCGTGTGCTCGGATGCCAAAGAGAAATTTCAGGGAAAAAAGTTTTTTTTTAATTGACCAAAACCGGGAAAACCGGAAATCAAGCCAACGGGACCCGGTGAGGTCCCCTTCGCGTTTGGTTCTCTGTGGATGGAGCTGCCCCGGGTGGGTCTGAGTGTCCGTCCCTCTAGGTCCCACTGATGTGGGCCGGTGTGGAGGTGGGTGGGGAGGCTCACCGTGCTTGGCGGTGACATTAGGGGGGACTTCTGTGTACTGACCCCCTTGGGGTATCTTCTGTGCTTCCTTTCAGCCGACCAGGGTGAGGCCAGCACCAAGAACCAGCAGAGCACCAACGCGGATCAGCCTGGTGAGTCGCGGGTCCTGGGACCGATGTTTTCCCGGGACCACGAGCACAACGAGGGCCACTGGATGGTTTTTTTCCCCAACGAGGGGACCTTCTCAGGGTCCAAGGCAGACGCTGGACCGTCAGGTCCACTTTCGAAAGCCGCGTTGGGAAAAAAAAAAAAAAGAAAATGAGGCGTCTGTGAGCGCGTTTCCCTATTTATAGGGACGTGGGGACGTACCCCTTTGCCCCGCGAGAGGCAGCGTGTAGGGAATGGGACGCGTGCGGACCCGAGATCAGGGTCGCGTGACATCGTAACGGACACTCTGGGGACGTCTGTGTCTCACGGGCTGCGACTTCCCAGTATAAACCTTAAATGAGCTGCTGAGCGAAATCGCGGCCCAAAATCATGCCACGGGACTGGATTGAGGAAATTACGTACGGTGAGATTGGTGGATCCGAGACATTTTTGTCGCTACGAGGAAACGCCTTTTCCTATTTGTTTTTTCCCTACTTTTCTGGGAGTTTGTATTTTTTTTTCCCCCTAGGAAAAAAATGCCTTCTATATTTTTTAATTTTATTTTTCCTGGAGTACTTTTGTTTTGTCGGATTTTTTGGGTTATTTTGTAGAAGAAAATGCTTTCTCCTATTTCTTTCTCTAGGGAAATAATGCCTCCTATGATTTTTATCCTCTTTTTCCTGGAGTATGTTTTTGTTTTTGTTTTTGTTTTTATTTTTTAGGAGAAAATGCCTTCTCCTATATTTTTTTTTCCTAGTTTTCCAGGAGTATGTATTTCTTTTTACCTAGGAAAAAATGCCTTCTTTATTTTTTAATCCTATTTTCCTGGAGTATTTTTGTTTTGTTTTGGGTTTTGGGGGGTTATTTTGTAAGAAAAAATGCTTTCTCCTATTTCTTTCTCTAGGAAAATAATGCCTTCTATGTGTTTTATACTATTTTTCCTGGAGTATGTTTTTCTTTTCTTTTCTTTTTCTTTTTTTTTTAGGAAAAAATGCTTTCTCTTATTTTTTTTTCCCTACTTTTCCTGGAGTATGTATTTTTTTTCCTAGGGAAAAAAATGCGTTCTATGTTTTTTATCCTATTTTTCCTATAGTATTTTTGTTTTGCTTTGTTTTGTTGTTTTGGGTTCTTTTTTGTTGTTGTTGTTATTTTGTTTTGTAGGAGAAAATGCCTTCTTTTTTTTTCTTTAGGGGGAAAAATGCCTTCTATATTTTTTCTCCTATTTTTCCTGGAGTATGTTTTTATTTTTTTTGCTTTTTTTTTTTTTTTTTTTTTTTTTAGGAGAAAATTCCTTCTCCTATTTTTTCCCCTGGCTTTCCTGGAGTATGAAATTTTTTTTTCTCCTAGGAAAAAAAAATGCCTTCTTTATTTTTTCCCCATTTTTCATGGTGTATGTTTTTGTTTTTTATTTATTTTTTTCTAGAAGAAAATGCCTTCTCCTGTTTTTGTTTTTCCCCTACTTTTCGTGGAGTATGTATATTTTCTTCTAGCTAGAGTTGATCATACACTGAAATTTGTTGACTCTTTTTCCCCAAGCAGGTCAGAGTCAGGATTTGCTTTCTGTCCGCGACGGGTTTCGCGCTCACCTACCTTCAGAGTCACCCGCGTCTGAAGTGTTTCAGGAGCAGCCGGTGACGTGCGGGTTTTGGGGGGAGCCGGGAATGTCTAGTGAAGTCTTTTCTCGTCTCTCTGTCCTTGACAGTCCAGTGGAGTCTTCTGGAAAAATAGAAGCTTGGCCACGACGCACGTCCATGATGCAACTCCCAGCAGAAGGACAAGACTCGCCGGCTGTGTCTTCCCGAAAAACACGTGCGCGGGCAGCGGCGGCCACGGCGGGCTCCAGCCCCGTCGGGCTCCAGCCCCGTCCTGCCCGCGCCTGTCCTTACATCGAGACGCTTTGTTTTGACCTTGAGATACGTTGCACCCGTTTGCACCACGCCGGGTACACGAGGGGGGATTCTAACGCTGCGTGTCGCCTTCAGAGGGGAACTGTGCTCCCCTCTCTGGGGCTGTTGGGGTTTCCCCGTGGGGTGGGAGAGACCGATTGTCCGTGGCAGAGTCTTTCCAATACCGACCCCGCACAGGTTCTCCCTCCCGGAACTCTGGGCCTTTTACCCCACCACGTGTCGACCAAACAGAACCGTCCCTGGCGTTGACCCTTGGATACAGTGAGATAAACCTTCCACTGGTGTCCTCAACGTTTCCTTCATTGGGTAGGATTTTTGTTTTGTTTTGTTCTTGTTTTCCACACCAGACTAATAAAAAAGAAACAAGAAACCAAGTACTTTTTTACTTAAATATTTTGCCATGGGGTGACGTTTAAAGAAGGCTGTGGAAACCAGTGGGATGGGCCCCCTGGTCCCTTTTCTGGGACTGTAGGACAGGCAATCAACCCAAG